ATGTCTCGCACGCCCTTCTTTTATTTCACATACATAGGGAACAGAAGCCTGACGAATAAAATGCACGCATATATATTATGAACACTAACATCAACAGTGTATCAATCTCAAGTCTAATACGTAGCAGAAAAGGGGTACAAAAAGAAGTGGATGAAAAGAGGCGTGCGTTGGACTGTGAATGTAGTCATAAATTAAGGACATACGTATTACTCCCTCCGTCCCATAATATAAGAACGTTTTTGACACTACACTAGTGTAAAAAACGCTCTTATATTATGGGACAGAGGGAGTATAAACTAGAGAAAACAAGCAGTAGAAAGACAAATAAGCAAGCCAAAGTGGTTGCTTTGCACTATGAAATGAATGCAGTCATAAATTAAGGATCAGAAATTTGGTTCTGGAGCTACTAACCGGCAGATTTGGTTCAGAGAAATATTGATCATGTAATCATGATCCACAAGCGACATGTCTTGCATGCAGATGCAGATACATACATCAATCTTTACATGGTTGAAAGGATTCCCTACAACTTATGTCCATACTGTGGCAGCCCTGCAGAATTCAGAAGCGATGACAAAGTAAGCACTGGGCCAGGGATACAGAAGCAAGCAAGCACACAATATTTTCAAACAAAAAGCTTACAACACTGAAATAGTCATAAAAGTTAACATCTAGCATTGCAGAATGAAGAGTCGGTTGTATCTCGCACCTGCTGACTAATGTGCACAAAAGATTGATTGCAACAGTGGTGGAGTGGAGTGGTTAAGATGAGGCAGCAGGTGCGAGATACTACAGGTATAATTGAGTGGTTAAGAAAGAGAAAAACAATAAAAATAGTGTTACCTTTGACGGATAAATTTCAAATGTACTCACATTGATTTATTCCCAGAGATCCTTTAAAGCACACCAATCTTCTACTGCTGCTGCACTCTTGACCAATGTACAGCTCAAGGCAGTCACATTGCTTGCTGCCGCTGAGGAATTAATTTTTGCCTTCAATCTCAGATTCAGATTCACATGTGAAGCTGCCAGCCAAATCTTAGACATTAAGCAAGCGTCAATGTCGTGCGAGGCTGATGCTGAATCCCAATAACCGCCTCGCACCTTGGCACCCTTTCCTTTTGGACATTCCACTGTGAGCCATCACTTCGTCATATATATTCTACAAACAAGCAAGACAAATTATATCAGCTGGTGCTTGAGGAACTACTTGAAAGCAACAGCAACATTCTGGCGACAGACAGACAGATTCAAGCAATTCATCAGAGATTACAATGTATGTTTCAGTGCACAACACTCCTATTTGAGCATTATATTAGGTAGTAGGGAAAACCCAAAAATGAAATGAGAACAAAGTGTCAAGTACGTACTGACCTTTCAGCATATCAACACAACTGCTTCACTTTTGTTCTGTGCCATTTGTTTGTTTGTTTGTTTGTTCTGAATCAGCTGTGAAATTCACTACTGGGACTGCAGAATCCAATCAGCTGTACAATAGATGAACTTGGGTCGGGTCAGACTATGAGCAAAGAACAATCTTGCTTATTCACCTGATCATTCATTACCTGTGTGAGTGCCAATAAAACCTAAACCTGTATGCAATCTCCATGCATAATACTAAAAGGTACTCTGCCCAAGCATAATTCTCATTGCTCCAGTCCAGCAGATTTTACTTGCAGAGAAATTTCACACCTCAGCGGCTGATTAATGCGCACAGAAGATTGCAATAATGGCTGAGTGGAGTGGAAAATTCTAGTGCCCGGAGGGAGGTGAGGAGCTGCAGCGCTTTCTCTTGCTCTTCCGTCAAGCTTTCCATCTCCGTCTCATCCTCGTGGAATTCAAGTGTGTGGAGGGCCGGGGCAAGGAGGCTGCAAATTGGAGCAACAAGCAGTCCACAGATGTTATCCACACTGAGTACCTCCAATCTAGAGATGTAACCTGCAGGCAATAATAATTTGGCCACCTCTGAGAGCATATCTGCTGCTAATCTAGAGGTGTTGCATCCACACACGTGCAGTTGTATGAGGTTGACTCCAATGAGAGGATTGAATCCGTCCACTGTTAAATTACTGCACTCCTGTAGCCTTAGAGTGGTGAGAGACGTGAGGTTTGAGAGCAGACCCATTGACTTCATGCTTGGCTCTTGGTAAACAACAAGTTCCCTCAGGGAAGCAGGGAAAGGGCAAATTGATTCTCCCATGGGCCAACGAGAGAAGAGTTTGCCACATCCCGATATTGTTAATTTCAGGAGCAATGATGAGTTGTCCTCCTGAATTCCTCCTCCATTCTCCTTCTCCACAGGCACAAGAACCAGGCCCTTGCAGTCTCTAAATCTAAGTTTCTGCAGTGAGCTGGATGATGGCAACTGCATTACACATTCCTCATCTCCATATATCAACAACACAGAAAGAGCTGGGAAACAGTTTAGCACTTTTGACGATGATGATTTGTTGCTGGTAAGATGAGATACATGTAATTCGAGTCTCTCAACTGAACGGAAGACAATACTGCCACCCAGCTCTTCAGGGAACAAACTGTCACATCTTCCGACAGTTAGTTCTGTTAGGGATTTAAACTTTTCCATGTCTGTCAATGATATGTGCGATACATTTTCAATATCCATATCTTCTACTTTATCCAGATTGTGGTAGGCCAAAGCACCGCCATACCCACTCACAACCAATTTCTTTCCATCATAAGACAACGTTCCACCTCTTTTGACATCCAGATCTGTCAGTGTGGAGGTGTGAGGCATGGCGGGCAGAGACATCTTGGGGCACCCAGAAACTTCAAGTCTGCGCAAATTGGTGAAGGATACCTCTGACAAGGGCAACACACGGAGATTGGGACAATTGACGCATATGATTTCTTCAAGACTTGGAAAGGAATGGCAATTAGGTTCCACAACCCATTCAGCAAGATCTGGCATTTCACAAAACTTAACTGTCTTCAAGCGCATAAAACATTTGCCTGGAGCGCCACCACATCCAAGCCCAAACTGATGCATTCCAGGAATTTTCTTCAATTTGAGGTCCTCGAGATTTGGTAGCTTCGCAAAAGGTGGGAGGGTGCTCCAAGATATGCCTTCTAGAATGAGAGACTCTAAATTTGTTAACCAGATGTCAAGACACAACCAACTAGGACCAACGACACCATCATGATTTGCAGACAAGAATATCAGCATCTGTAGTTGGTCCATCTCTGCCCCAGAGTAATTCCAACTCCTTTAGATTCCTTTTCAACTCCAGTTTGGCTGCAGTAGCTTCCTCCTTGGTTGCCACGTGTTCAAGACCACGTATAATCAGTCCTCCTTCAAGCTCTGTCAATGACCCAAGTTCTCTCAGTTGAAATCCCATGTTCCCTTTCCTGACATGGAATTCTTTTAGTTCCAGCAGATGCTTCATCTTTCCGACATTGCGAATATTGGAGTGGACTTTACTTGCAGCACGGAAATCATGTAAATTCTCAAGGTGGCTAAAGTCTTTGGGCAAATCAGAACTACCATACCAATCATCTAGGTCCAAGAATTTCAAGTGATAAAATCTTGATAGTGTACTAGGCAAGCTCATTTCATCTTCACTGTAAGACGAACTAATTTTGAGGTACTGGAGGTGGATAAGTTTTGAAAACCTATATGGAAAAGATTGTGCAGACTTCACCACTATAAATAGGACACGCAGACTGTTTATTTCCTTGAAGCTATCTTTCAAAATCTTGGCGATTCTTTCTTCTTCATATCCTCTAAATATCATCAAAGTCCGCAGATTAGCAATGTCGATCCTCTCCCTTAGTTTACACATTTCTTCCTCAAAATTTGCTTTATATCTGTCTTCTATGTTGATAGATAAGTGCCGAACAGATTGTGGGATAGCATCAGCTCTGAAATCTAAGTCACTTATATTGAGGCATTCTTGTGCAGAAACACTCTTAGATAGCTCATGCATTAAATCATGCATTACATAGCAATCAAATTCCTTCTGTTGTTGGTATCGATCATCCCAATAATACCCTTTCTTCTTCATGAGAAAACCATTGTCCACTAGTTCATCCAAGTAATTCCTATCGGCGTGGTGATTATAGTCTATGATGCCTATTGCAACCCAGAAATGATTGATTTCTGAAGGAGTAAACTCATGGTCTTCAGGGAAAAGGCCACAATAGGAAAAGCGTTTCTTCAGATCAAATGGGAGGTAATCGTAGCTAATCTTTAAAGATTGCATTATATCATCATTTTCTTGCTGCTTTAGCCACTGATGCTTTTCAAGAACTCCATTCCAATGTTCCTGAGAAAGGTGCTTATGCAATAGTCTACCAACTGTTTTGGCTGCGAGCGGGGAACCCTTTAGCTTGTTTGCAATTTTTCGTGCAATACCAGCAAACTCATATTCGTAATGCTCAGGCTTGTTGTCTTGACCAAATATACATGCTTCAAAGAATGTGAAGAAGTCATTAGACTCCAAACCTCGCAGCTCTAGTGGATCAACTGTTTTCACCATGCCTGCTACCTTTGGGAATCGAGTAGTGACAAGTACCATGCTTCCTTCGGTTTCCCCCTTTGTGAACGGAGCTAACAGGGTTTTCCACTGATCCTCACCGTCACATTTCCATATATCATCCAAGACAATCAGAAACCTCTTGGACTTGATACGTTGTGCTATGGATTTCTGAAGCTGGTCTAAATTGGTTGTTTCATTTGCAACACCGCTGTTTTTTTCTTCTTCAGTTGCAGGTATGCAGGCAAGGATCTCCCTGGTGAGCTTAAGCACATCGAAATCAGTGGATACACATACCCAGACTGGGACATCAAAGTGATTTTTAGTCCTTGCATCATTATAGAGATGTTGGACGAAGGTAGTCTTTCCAATACCCCCTGGACCAACTATAGGAAGAACAGAAACAGGGTGTTTGCAGCTGATGATACGGTTGACAGTTTCCTCAAAAATGTCTGTCCTGCCATACAATGTGTCTTGTACAATGATGGAAGCAGTGTGAGGCCGATCTTAGACGACTGCCGCTGCCGTGCTGCCGCTTGGGATAGTGCCGATGCCGAGCAAATTGGAGACGGAATCACAGTGGGACTGCATGCCCTGTAACACGGACTTGATTTGTCTGGAGATGGACACTCTGTCAAAATGCAGCAGCGCATCACCATCTTGGGCAGTAGCAGAGTTGGAGTTGGTGACACCGGCAACAGCAGCAGCAGCAGCATCACCACCATTCCTCTTGGTCTTGGGTGGTGTACAGGGCGAGCGAGAAAAGCACGGGAACAAGTGGCGAAGAGCACTATCGGCGTGGAGAGCTTGATGGCGGAGAAGGCCTTGGAGATCTTGGGTGGTGGCGTAGTGGGTGCCGTGGAGCTTGTCATGGATCTGAAAGTAGTGGACCTCATCCAGCAAGCCCTCGGCCTGGTCGGCGTCCCTGCTCAGCTTCTCCAGCAACCCCTGGAGGCCAGGGTTGTCGCCGACGTGGCTCCCCTGGAGCTGGGCGTTGTGCAGGAGGCCTTGCGTGTGCAGCAGCTTGTCCTTGATCTGCTCCGAGTTGTGGCCGAGCTGAAGGCTGTCCACGTACGCCGCCACCGGGACGACGGACAGCGTCGTCAACACCTTGCCGAGGAGCGTGGCCGCAGCGCCGAGAGCCGCCTGCATCGTCTCTCTGCACTGCCGTGCAGACACTCTGCCTGGCCTCGCCGGAGTAGTGGTGAAGAGGGAGGAAGCAGCAGCAGCAGAAGGCGGGGTGGAATGGATTGGGCTGCGAGGATGTAAAGTGGCGGGCGGGCAGCTTGGAGGTCAGTCGCCGCTGGCGCTGGGTGTGGATGGATGGATTGGAGAGGACTGCAGATGGAGTGGAGAGGTGACGGAAAGGAGAAAGTGCGGCCTGCTTTCTTCCTTCTACAGTACTACAACGGTACTGTGTCACATGGGATGCTCAAATGCGCCTCCTCCCTCAATAATGCCGCACTTCTTTTTACAAACTCACCCCTAACCAAATGCTACAGCGCCTAGGATGCGTAGGAGCAACTCCAACGCGCAGACCCAAACGGTACCTGTTTTATCCGCTTTTGGTCCGCTTGGTTTTAAGTGCTGCTCGCCCAGATTGCAAAGTGACTTGTCATCGCTGAGGACGTCGAAGGGCCGCGTTGCAGGTAGCCCGCGCACCTCTTGCGTGATCTATGCGTTGAAGGCGACATGCATCTCAATCTGCTTGTCGTGCGTGGCCTTCTGCTCTTCCACCTTGGCAAGGAGCGACTCGAACATCTTGGTGATGTTTTTGTTGTCCTCGTCCATGGCGGCTAGCACTTGCCGTGTCGCCGCTCAAGCTTTTTGGGGCGCCGTCGCCCTGCTTTGGAAGAGATCGAACCCCGCGGCGGATTTTGTGCGGTTTGTCGGAGCAGCTCGCACCAACGCAGTGGATGTTAGAGTAACTCCAACGCGTCGACCCAAACGGATGGCGCTTTTGTCCGTCTTTTGTCCGTTTGGGTCGGCATGTCCGCCCCCTTTTGCATTTGGGTCGGCGATGCGTCCGACGCACCGGCGCATTATTCGTCCTCGTGGACTGCATGCCGCTTGTTTGGTTGCCATTGAACACTTTTTTATTTCATCAAAGACATTTTTGATACATGCATTCACCAATTCTTTGCTACGAGTGCAAGACCAAAGAAAACAAAAACCACAATTAGACATTTTAGAAGATGTCCAACTTCCATAACTGCTTCCACTAGTTGGACTAATATCTTCTCTATGTCTTCATTGCTGATCTGTGGATTCTTGAGCTTCACAACTTCTTTCTTCTTTGATTCTAAAGAAGTAGAGGTTGATTCCCCTTTGGTCTCTTCTTTAGTCTCATACCAAGCTTCAATTCTAGCTACAAGTTCACAGACATTTAGTAAATTTCTTTCGATCAAAATCGATGTACTATTCTTCTCAAAACCAAAACTTGCAGCCTTCCTACACACAAATTTAAGCAAATATGAAGCTACCAAAATTGTGCCGACACCGAGAACAAAACCGAACCAACATAAGCACGTACCCCATCATTTTTGCACTTGATGAACACCCATTGGGGATGTTCCGGCGTCGAAGAGACTCGTCGCACGACCCGTCGAGGGCAGTCATCGCACTTTATGAGCGGCAACGGTGAGCCGGCAAGCCTCTGGGCCAGCACCGAGCCAGGGCGAAGGCCGTCCATGGCTTTGCGGGCAAACCGACGACGGGGTAGATCCGAGCGGGTAGAGGAGGCCTCAACACCTGCATGCGACGCGGAGGCACTGCCGAGGCTGTGTGCTCCGCTACCCGGCCAATCCATGGCAAGGCGCACTCACCGTCGACCTGAATCGGCAAATCAGGCCGGCGGGATGCGCCAAATCCCGCTGTCGCAAATCTCTGTCACCGCCTGTAGGGAGGCACCAAAAGCCGGTGAATGTATTGGGAGGAGGAGGGGAGGGGCTGGCGAGCAAGGTGGCCGGGGAAGATGGGCGTCGGCGGGTGGTAGGGTTTGAGCATGGGAGCGTGCGGGGGAAGAGGATAAAAAAGGACGGGATGTGACGCTGACTGGTGGGCTAGGGAGAGAAGGAGGCGCATGAGCCGCATGTCCGCTTCGTGTTTGCGCCGACGCAAATGAGGCCCAAATGTAGGCCGAAAATGAGTCGGCAAGTGGACGAAAAGCGGACGCGCGTCCGTTTGGATTGGCGTGTTGGATCAACTTTTATGTCCGTACCGATCCAACACGGACGAAATGGATCGTCCGGTTGGAGTTGCTCTTACCGATCTGGACTTGGCTTGGACTTGGATGGTGAGCAATGGGTCTTTCTTCCTTCCTTCCACAACGGCACTGTGAGTGACACATCAATCAATAATTCATAGACTAGACTAGACTAGAGGTGGGTCTTTCTGGTCGTCCACAGTCACCTGAGCAAACGCCACTGTGCCACATGGGATGCTCTGCTGCCCTTGTGCGCCTAGGCCCTTCATCAATAATGCCACTCTTTTCTTTTACAAATATACCCCCAACCAAATGCTATGGGCCTATGGCCAGATCCTTTAATCGGGTTTACCTGAAAATTCGGATAGCGTAATTCGGTTTTCAGAAATGACACCCTTTTACTACTTAGCTTGTGTTGTTGGTTGCTTCCAGGTGGGCTAGAGCGTGACGTGGCGCCGCCCACATTCGAAATCCGTGCCACCACCACTGGAAACCGCAAACTTAAGGAAACAGAAACAGAAGGAGGGAGTGAAGTTACTGGGAGTATCTGCACAAGGCGTACTCCACGGGAGTTGGAGATGACATCGTGGACTTGTCGCTCGTCACCACCTCCAGCTTGCCGGATCCTTGGTCACCACCGCCGGTTTTCGGCGAAGCGGCTGTAGTTTCGCCAACGATTTTAATCTTTGGTAGGTACCTACAATAACTAGGTTTGAATTTGGCTTGATGGGCCAATCAAGAATGTAATCACAGCGAAAGAAAAGGAGACATGGAACTAGTAGTTAAGTTAAGTTGTCAACTTTGAGGCTTAGTTCAAAGTTGGTCTCCTATTTTTTTCATGCTCTGGTTCCTAGGAGTAGAAGAGAGGTGTTGGAATTACCTAGGGTCGTGGTGTTGAATCTCGATGTTATTATGGTCTAAATCTTATATTTTTAGTTGACCGCCTTTTCTTTTGCGGGGTTAGTCAACCACATTCTTGATGGGTTTCCACTTGGACCTTTCTGTTGCATATATGAAAATCTAGCTAAGGCTTGAACTCTTTTTATTTTTAGAGATTAACTACAAAGTTTTTTTTTTGACATCAACTACAAAGTTTGTTGACGTCAATATGGTAAACACATCGAAGCAAACACAACATTTTTCTGGAGTCCTGGGAGTTGGAGATGACATCATGGGACTTGTCGCCCCTTACTACCTCCAGCTTGCGGGATCCTTGGTCACCACCCCCGGTTTTCGGCGAAGCAGCTGTAGTTTCGCCCGCGATTTTAAGCTTTGATAGGTACCTATAATAACTAGGTTTGAATTTGGCTTGGTGGGCCAATCAAGAATGTTATACAGGACCTGATGGAAAGATTAATCCAAATGTCAATGAACATGAACCTATATCATATAGCAATCAGAAGGCCAAATGATGGCAAGATCGGGCATTTTCTCAAAGAATAAACTATAAATTTGTACAACTATTTAATTAAGTTCAGCTAGATTATATTACCGACCGATTTCTTGTCAAAAGTAGATCAAGCTCGTCGATGAGCAAAAAAACAATTGGCTGGTTTGCTTGCTTTCCAATGTTCTTGCCATCTGAAAAGTGCTCTGTTCAGTAATTTAGAGCTTTTTTCCATCCCACCCTATGTCCACTCAAACTATTCATATATAGCCTGCATATTCAATAAAGTGGACCTGTTATAAGTCTAGGTTGACTGATAAGGGAGTGTACATAATATGCTTGAGTAGGAATTTGCCATTTCGTAACTTAACTTAGAAGTTTGTATACCTTGTAGATATTCTGTGGGGAAGCTAATTTGAGATCATTGATTTCTTTCTATAAAACAATAGGGCCTCAGAGCTCCAGAATCAAATTCAGATCTGAACCTCCTCATGACTGCAAGTACACTCATAGCCTGCCAGTCAACAAAGCAGGTACAGAAAATGCAGCCAATAGATCTAGAAAGAATTGGTCCAAGAAACTTGATGATACATTATGGGCTTATAGAACTGCATATAAAAATCCTATGGGTATGTCTCCATATAAAATGGTTTATGGAAAAGCATGTCACTTACCTCTCGAACTAGAACATAAGGCATATTGGGCTATTAAAGAGCTCAACTATGATTTCAAACTTGCCGGTGAGAAGAGGTTATTTGATATTAGCTCACTTGATGAATGGAGAACCCAAGCTTATGAAAATGCCAAGTTGTTTAAAGAAAAAGTTAAAAGATGGCATGATAAAAGGATACAAAAACGTGAGTTTAATGTAGGTGATTATGTATTGCTATACAACTCTCGTTTAAGATTTTTTGCAGGAAAACTTCTCTCTAAATGGGAAGGCCCCTACGTTATCGAGGAGGTCTATCGTTCCGGTGCAATAAAAATCAACAACTTCGAAGGCACAAATCTGAAGGTGGTAAACGGTCAAAGAATCAAACACTATATCTCAGGTAATCCTATAAATATTGAAACCAATGTTATTGAAACCGTAACCCTGGAGGAATACATAAGAGACACTTTCCAGAACGTTTCAGACTCCAAAAAGGAATATGTATGTGGTGTTGGCAATATGCCCTAGAGGCAATAATAAATTAGTTATTATTATATTTCCTTGTTCATGATAATCGTTTATTATCCATGCTAGAATTGTATTGATAGGAAACTCAGATACATGTGTGGATACATAGACAACACCATGTCCCTAGTAAGCCTCTAGTTGACTAGCTCGTTGATCAATAGATGGTTACGGTTTCCTGACCATGGACATTGGATGTCGTTGATAACGGGATCACATCATTGGGAGAATGATGTGATGGACAAGACCCAATCCTAAGCCTAGCACAAAGATCGTGTAGTTCGTATGCTAAAGCTTTTTCTAATGTCAAGTATCATTTCCTTAGACCATGAGATTGTGCAACTCCCGGATACCGTAGGAATACTTTGGGTGTGCCAAACGTC